AAAATAAAAAATTTGGTTATCAATGTAGAAATTATTAGAATGCGTACCAATTTTCTTTAATTTTTTAGGTTTTTAGAATAAATTAGTGGAAGAGATTGTTAGTACTATTTAGTAGAAAAAGAGAGATTTCAAATAGCCTCATTGTATGAATCCTACCTTTAAATTAATATTACTAAATTTATGTTAAAGATCATCATGTTATAAAAAAATATATATATAATCAGACCATTTATTCCTAGGTTGTATTAAGAAATACCTTTTATTTTTTTGACAAGAAATACTTATTATGTTATCTTTTTTTTTTTTACAAGAAAAATATGATACTTGTTGATTATCTTCTTCTTTTTTTTTGACAAAAGAAGAAGATGTTGTACTACATTTTTTTTTGCTTGTTGTTATTTTTTTTTTTTTTTTTACAAGAAAAATAAAAAAATGATGCTGCCAAAGCACATTTTATTTTTTTATGCCTTTTGTTTTATTTTTTTGCAATAAATACTTGTTATATTACTTTGTATTTTTTTACAAGAAAAACAAAAAATTGTATTTTTTTTTTTTATCATTATATTGAAAAGCCTTTTATTTTTTATTTTTTTATAACAAAAATTTTTTTGACAACAAAAAACGAGGACTCGCGCGCTAAGGGTTCGAACTCTAAACCTCCCCCTTAAAATCGAAGATGTCAACCAACACCGCCACGTCGTGCGGAGGTTTTTTAGGTGCCACGTGTAAGACTCGCTATTCCAATAGTGAATCGTCCGGGGCAACGTGTAAGACTCGCGATTCACTATTGGGAATGGCCCGGATTTCTCTAGACACGGGCGATTCCCGGTTTTTTTCGTGGAACCGGTTCGGTTGCAGACGATTTCTAAGACGAACCGGGCGAGTACAGCTCGACTCGGCGAGTTTTCAAACCCTGGTTTCCACCAAATATGAGGAGTGGCAAGTTCCCACTATGAACTACTTGGTTTTGGCTAGTTCTCTAACAGAATCGCCTCTACTTATTATTTTATTTTTAAAAAACTTTTTGTTTTTTATTTTTTAATAATTGGTTCACTAGATCAGATCACCGATCTGGACCATCGATCCAAACTAGGTTTTTAGATAGGCAATCCAACTCAACGATCTATTTTACAAAAAAAAAACACCATACAATGAGACCATTTATATTTGGTGTAAGGTGATCACAATTAGCCTTCACCATTGGGTGTGAAATTAGATGGCTACATTTATTCTATTGACCAAGCTCAAACTTCAAATAAATTTTCTAGAACTTTGTGATGCACGCATTCTATTAGATTTCACATCATATGGTTATTAATAATTGTGACATCTTTGTATCAAAAGTAAATAGTCTTAATGTATACAATCCCTTTTTTAAACCTCGCATAGCATTCTTCAGTTTTGCTAACTAGTTTGTATTGGAAAGGTTTATTTTGAGTCTCTTAAAATACGAGTTTACTTTGATTTGTACTGATTCAAATTAAACCCATCTTAAATTATTGTAAACCAATCCAGATCAGTGGATTTTGAAACACTGTATTAAACACTAGGGGTGTAAACTCTAGTCCCTTTCAATTTTATATTATGGTAAACATTATGAACCCAAATGCTAGCATGAATAATTAACTATTGATCAAAATGGTAACCAATAATTTAATTCATTGACTACTAAGTTAAGGTTGATTTTTATTAAGGCCAACAAGAAAACGTTGTATGCCAATAATTAATCTCATCGAGATTTAAATATAGAAATTGATCAGCCCGTTTTCGGGGTAATCCGTGTTTGGGTTCACACGTGCATCTAAGTCCACGAGTGTTGCGTATCTCACATGAATTCCGTGTATTGCACATGCCAACGTGTACAGGCATGACATGACATGGATGCATGTCCTTTTCATTCTCTAATCAAGCACATGGACATGCGTATAAATGTTATTATTTTACACGCTAATGTTGTATCCAGTGTTTGTTTGGTGATAAAGTTCAATATCTTAGTTTCCATTTGACTGTCTTTTCTTTAGGGATTGCATTAAATACCTGGTTAGTTTTAAAGTGTGCAGGGTATCTGTTTGATTTGCAGCTATTCAAGTAATTATAAAATTAGAGTTATTTATCCGTAAAAAACTTAAAACTAAATTATTTAAAAAAAAAAAAAAAAAAGAGACGGTTTTCTCTACTATTGGCTAAAGCTATTAATATTGTTAGAGCTGATTATGGCAGTTTTCTGTGTTTGTTTTCACATAAGCCTCTAAAGCCACCTAAAGATACAACTAGAGCATAGCTTCTTGGACATTCAAGTAGGAGAGAGAAATTATTATTTTTATTAAAATAGACTTTACTTTTCAACTAATTAACGTTTTACCTACCATTCTAACCCGAAATTCATGTGTATTTTAAAGGATATTTTGAAGATAAAATGCTAAATCGTTAGTACTTAAAATATGAGTTATATTAATATATTCAATATTTTTAGACTCTCATTATCCCTTATTTTGTAATATAAAATTTTATTTTTGCCATTAAAAGGGATAAGATAGATATTTTAATAAAAACGATATCACACTCTACATGGATGATGTCATAGTTAATAAATATTTTTTTATTAAAAATTTATACTTTACTCATAATTTAGAGTTATTGTATAGTGCAGTAAAGGTATCAAGTATTCAAAAACATTGTGTATCTTAAATAAATTACTCATATATATGAATATCATAACACAACCCTTTAAATACATGTTGAAAATTTCCCAACATTATATGCACTTAATTACATAGATGTGTCTTAATTAGTGATTTAAAAAATATTGGGTCAGCACGAAATTGTTAGGTCCGACCTTAAAATCCGTCATCCAGTTTTAATTTTGTGTATGTATAAAAAAATGACTGAACCTAAAAGAGAACCGGTTATACACAATAAAATATTGATTCCCTATAGTAAAATGGTAATCTATATTGTCGAGTCACTATTTCGAGCCAATTTTTTAGCAGTTCAATGTTTTTTCACATGTTTTTTTTTTTGTCAATTCACTATTTTTTTTCGATCAAACAACCATCGAAACAACAATAATTCGAACTTGTTTTTAAGGTGCCTGATCCAGATTACCGATTTTATTTTTTTCGAACCACTAGCGGCGACACATGTCATGATGAGACTTTCCTTTTTATTTCACCCCTTTTATTTTTTTTTCTTTAAAACGAAGATAAGAACCAAAGGAAAGTCCGATGACATGGAATACGGCAAGTTCATGACGTGGCCGGAGGGGATTTGGTTAGGTTTGACTTGTTTCAGTAACGCCAAACCGTTGAGTAGTTATAGACAGCTGTTGTGGGTCCCTTTATTTTAAACCCCACACCGACGTGGCCTCCAAAGCGTCTCTTTCTACCGGGCCACATGCTGAACTGCCAATTAAGTGTACGATTTTTTGTTTTTTTAGGGTTTTGAGAGGAATATGAAAATCCGAGGCGGTGGGGGGGTCGCGTTTCTCGGATCTAGAATTCTTAGCAGTGTCCCA